AAGTAATGCATAATTTTATCATTTATTTATTATTTCATTATCAGTAAAAACCAGTAAAAATCATATTTATGTAATCAAAATAAATTCTTACTATTTAGATTCAAATTATTGGAATACTTTTGAATTTAATGGTTGAAATTAGATCCAAAAGTCAAAAAACACTTTGAATATCTAAGATAACTGATGATGCCTGATACATATAACTAAAAGACCTAATTAGTAGTATTATAACAGACTGTAAAGTCGTGCAATAAACTTCCGAAAATTGTAAAAATGGACTTATATTTTTTATGAGTTAAGATCCTTATATATATGTACGTATAAATTTATAATAAAATTTAATTTAATATGTATACATATATTCATTTTATGTCAAAATTCCGCGTAATACGCAAAAACAAATTTTACGCAAGAGGATTGGCAGAGAAAAAAATATATTCAATTCGAGGTTCACAGCTAAGACGCGTTGCACAAAAACCAATACGTATCCGCGTGCCGGCCATGATGGATTGTTGGAGCTATGGGAAACTATCTGTCAAGCACAATATCGACCCTCGTTCTCTCTGTCCAACCCCTGCAAACTCAGGGTTCACTCTCGTTGCCGCCGTCCCTCCTGGGGGTGCGTTCTGCAATGTAGGTTTACCTACACATTGCCATACAAACCTTTCTCAGCCCCCTGTTTCCATCCTCTTCCCTCTCTTTTTCCGTTTTCGCCTAAATCTTCGACCATTTCGCGAACAACCTATCTCCTCTTTTATAGATTTTGTTTGCCTGAAAATGCACTCTAATGCAGTATCTAAAAAAATATTTAAATTTTTAAGAAAACAACTTAAAAAAGAAAAAATAACTTGTGTGCACATATACATATTTATTGATTTTTTATATGTACACATATTTATCATTTATTGTAAAAAAATAAATATGAACAGCTGTTACATACGCTAACAGAGAGAGATTGCATATGTTAACAGAAATACTTATCCTAAATATTAACAGAAAATTATATCATAATTTTTCTCTTACACTTAATTATTATTTAAAAAATACAATCTTTATTTTCAGTTTTACAAAATATGTATATATCTATAATCAATAAATAATGTACATTTTTTGTTTTGTCTTAATAATGTATTATGTAATAAACGTACATACATACTTATTAATTACAATATTATTAATAAACACTGCAAGCACTGCATAATATATACAACTGTATGTAATTGTACAGAACAAACAGTAATGATTAAAAAGATACATTATTTGTGCAGCGAGATACATATAATATTGTATCAATCACAATTATAATATGAACTTCTTTAAATAATTATAAATTGGATTTCAAATAAAGGAAAATAATTATATATTTTTGTATTCTAAACAATATCTGAATGTTAATGAACTTTCTTTAGCATTCTTTTAAGCTGTTACAAAATACGTTTAATATATTAATCTTTTTAACCCAGTAAGAATTATAATCCAACAGTAGAAAAGAAGAACAAGTCTTTACGACTTTTGCATTTGTATTATCTAATCTAAAAAACATACAATAATAAATAAATAAATTTATTTTAATCTGATATGGATATGAAACGTAAATTATAATTACATAAAATTATTATCTAAGAATATTAAATTAAATTTATAACAAAAAATTTAATATCATGTAAATACGTCAATATAAATTAAAATGTATTGTAAATGTAAAATTATGTCAATCCTTTTTATTCGTATCTTTAAATTACGAAACAAAAAAGAAAGTGAAAAGTACTTATAAAAGGTACATCCAGTGTAAACATATAAATTAAGCTACAACACATTTATTATATTCCTTTGAAGATTCTAAATGTTTTGTTATAAATTTAACTGTATACTCTTAACAATTTTATGTGACTATAATTTATGTTCTTATGTATATTAACAAGATTAAAAAATTAATTTATTCATCATAAATTATAACAACTTAAAAGAATATTAGAGAGAGTATGATTCTATGACATTCTAATTTCATTTAAATATATAAATAAATAGTTATATACTTTTGTTGATTTAAAATTCAATTTATAATTATTCAAAACAGTTTAAATACCTATTTAATTCGAAAAATATAAAATATAAACTATGATTACAATTTTAATTACAATCAATTTTATTTTAAGTTTTTACAATATTATTTATCTATTTCAAATGATTTACAATAGTTGCACAATGAATCAATAGAATTTGAGAACTTTTTACATTTTTGAAGAGAACTGTGTCAAATTAATTTATTAATATTTTTATGACATAACACAGATACGAAAGTCTCATTAAGAAAACTTTTTTTTTCATAATTAGACTAAAATAAATAAAATCTATTATACACTATTAACTTGTAACCAATAAAATTGATGGAAATTTATCGTCAATATTGTTTACTTGCAATACTTGTATCCATTTTCCGAAAACACTGTACGTTGAAATTGAAGAGAAAAAATTCTTGCACGAAAAAACACTTAAAACATTAAAAAATAAGAATAAAAGGAGCACACTCGTTCACGCACGCTTATGCTTTCAACCATCTTGTTTCATGTGAACAGCGCAGCTGCACACATACCTATCTCCTCCCCACTCTATCTAGTCATCCCCTAAATTCTAACGTTCTAAGCTTATCGAATATCTTTTATGTTAACATTGCTTATAATATGCAAGTATGCACAAGTACTAATATTAATAAAATATATTTATGTTTACACAAATGCAATTTTAAATTTTCTTTTCTCTTTTTTAAATGAAGTAATATTATTGGATAAAGAATGTAAATTTCGTATCTGTTATGTCTGAAGTATTTTATATACATATGTATATATATATATAAAATACATATTTTTATAAATATTTTTAGTATTATACAATTATGGTTAAAGTATTACTATTTATATATATAGGGTGTTCAGCGTAACGGTCCGATTTCTCAGACTTTCAACAGTTAAAAAAAGTTAAAAAGTGAATAATCATCTGTTTTATACAGGCTACAACATGCAATAAAAGAATTGAAAAAAAAATTTTTTTCATAAAAATTCAAAGTCATTTTAAATTTTTTAAATAGCACCATACAATTTTTTTCCATAATATTGTAGGGGTTTTCAAAAGACAAATTCAAGTCACTATTATTGATATCACTTTTATTGATTTTATTGATACTTAATATCAAATTTGTAACATTATTTGTAACAACAGTACTTACAACCTCTGACTAGAACACAAAACATACATACATACACACACACACACACACACACACACACACACACGTACTTATTTAATAAAATAGGCAATAAAATCAATAAAACATCAATAAAAGTGACATTTCGACAGTAATTTGAATTCGTCTTGAAGACTCCTACAATATTATAGGAAAAAAATTGTATAATGCTATTTAAAAAATTTAAGATGACTTTGATTATGAAAAAAGAATTAAAAAAAATTTTTTATCACTTATTATAGCCTATATAAAACAAATGAATTTATCACCCTTCAATTTTTTTTTAACTGTCGGAAATGTTTGAAAAATCGTGCCGACCATTACACTGAACACCCTGTATATAAAAGGAATACTTTAAACATTATTGTATAATACTTAAAATATAAAAAAAATAGTATATACATATGTAGTATATACATATATATACACTTATATACATATGCATATATGTATATGTATATATAAAATGTAATATTAATTACATTTTAGATAAAATCCATATACTATGTCATTGCATTTAAAATTATATAATTATATTGGACATGATAGAAGTATATGCAACACAATAAGTGAAGATCAAGGTTATATTTGGTCAAAGCAAATATTTTGGTGCCTAATAATATTTTCGTGTAAATTTTATAATATTTATCAATAAATATGGCTTTCTCCACCTATTGCGTTAAACATTTATTAATAATTATGGCTTGCTCTGCTTATTGCGTTGAACATTTTTTGGTTTTCACTTATTATTGAAATATACACAATCATATACATGAAGAAAGATTTCATTTAACATAAGATGTTACAAATGGATTGTAATTAATTATTATAAATTCATTTTAATTTATATGTATTCTTATATAAAATTTATTATAGTAATCGACAAATAAAAAGAAGAAATGTTTAGAAAATATAATCGATATTCTGGTTAGCAGCGATCTAAATGCGGATACTATCATTAATCAGATTGTATATGAATTTTGTTCTGAACGTCAAAATATTTTTGGATGACGTATGCAATACTCAGCAAAATCTACTGACGAAATGCAAAGTTAGGAAAAGAATGTTCAGGAGAAAATGCAATGTGAAGGGCCGAGCTTTCGTGTACCTGAGCTATAGGATGCTCGTTGTTTAGCTCGGTCATAAATCATAGTGGTTGCAAGGTCAGCTGCCCCGATCTCGACCGTGGCGGCATTCTCTCTTTACGAACCAGCGTGAAGGACCAACTTTGTCCTCAGTTTGGCATAAGTTCGTTTCTTAAAACTATCTCGATTAATTTTAAAACGCCAATGTAGGTCTAAGTATATCTACAAAACTATTATATTGATTTTCATCGCAAATACTTGTTGAAGTATATATGTACAGTAAGTGCAGTATACATACAAATAATTGCAATGAACTTTAATATCAAAGTTTATTGTAATTTGATGCAAAATAATTACGTCATTCAAAAATATTTTAATTTATATTTATTTATGACAAAGGTCTCTTTATTAATGTTTCGATACTAAATTAAAATTACTATTGCAGAATAAAAACATATAAATTAATAAGAATTTATTAATTTTTACTCCTTTATATTTATTGTCCAATTTTATTAACTTTTTTTATTAATTTAATTAATTTTACTAAATTTTTCTACGCAGAATAATTAATATTTTCCTATTATTTTCAAAAATAATTGAAAGTATTCACAGAATTACTGTACAAAGTGTTTTACTATACCATATTCGCGACTGTTACTACCTTCAGAATTATTTCAATAATGCCCATTATTTAAATAATGAGTTCTTAACATATTTTGATTAGGAAAATAATATTGATGTCCTTCGTAAAATTGTTGTGGAGATTGTAATTGTGTCTGTTGCGCTGGATTTAATACTTGATTTTCGTGAATTGTCATCTGCGTATTGGATTCTGATACTATTAATTTCGATGGTGTTGATACAGCTCTGTTTACGGATGTAACCGGTGATTTTTTTTCTTTCATTCGCCGATTTTGAAACCAAATTTTAACTTGACGCTCAGTTAAAGAAATATTTTGAGCTAATACTGTACGTTGTTTTTTTGCAAGATATTTATGTAAACGAAACTCTTTCTCCAGTTCGAAGATTTGAGTGCGCGTATAGGTTTGCCTCGTGCGTTTCTGCTCAGTTCCATTTTCTTGATGGGCTGCAATCAATAATTTTTGTATTAATAAATGATATATATTAAGGATAAATTTAGTATACAGTTAAAAATTAATGGAGAGATATCTAAAGACTTCATTTATTCAACTATAACTAATTTTTAAAAATATTATTATATATTTTTAATTATTTGTTGGACTGACATGTGGCTCTGTATAAAAGCAATCGACTTGTAATCGACAATCCTTACTGCTTTGACCCCAATCATCCTACATATGCCCCGATTTTATTAATTTTGTTGATTGGATATTTGAAAGTTGCGAGTGAAATTTAATTATTTGTTAAAAATGTAGTAAATAAGGAAAAACTATGTTTGTAAAATATTCATGACTTTTTATAAAAGATAAAAATGTGAATAGAGGTCATTAGAATTTGAACAGTTCTCTGATTACTATTATAAAATGTTCATATACATATATAATATAAATGTTATAATATCTATAATATATATTTCAATAAATAACTAACCATTTGTCCTTTTAAACATCCATGGATAATTTACAACGTTGTTAGAATAAGGATCTCTTTGTCTGTCATGCTTGGACATCCTGATATTCTTGTTTCTTTGTCTTATATTATTATTATTATTATTATTTCTGTTATAGCTATCGATTTGCAATCCTTGTTGTACATTAAAAATGACTTGCTGCTTTGATTTGTCTTGTTCATGTTGCATTGAAATAGTGGATGGTCCAGGAGTACATGAAGCATAATTATGTGATTGCACATAATTGTGTTCTTGATAATTTTGGTTATATTTATTGTATTTTTGTTGTTGACATTGTTCTTCTGATTGTAAGGTGTTAAGAAATTCCTCACATTCCGTCACCGATATTTCAGATGGTGATGGATATTCCACAGGAGAGGTTTGATATGAATTATATGAAATCATTTGACTGTTTGGTGTGATTTGGTATGACGAAATCATACCATCTATGTTTGTATATGAATAAGCATAATTTTGTGTCACTGTTTTTTTGCCATGTACTAGTGTATCCCTCAATAAACTGGTGGATGATGACACGTGTCTTTCAGGTCTGCTCTCTTGCGTTAGTGCTTGCTGATAATACGTCTGATGTGATGGTATATTTGTCGGGCAGTAGTACGGATCGTTATTTGAATTCGTAGCCATATTATCAGGTATCCATATTGTCACAAATTCATGTATAATTTATATGATCCACACTGTCTGTCGCTGTCTGTATGGTGAACGCATATACTTTACGCGAGACACTACCACACGTTTCTTAATTATATCACATATTCTTACTTTTAATAGCTATATACAACTGTATTACAATTATTGCACGCCAAACAATTGGCCATAAATTTATTTAAAATGTCTAATTTTTGCACTTAAATCCGAATGCAAGACTTCATGTCTTAAAGTTCACGTATATACATATATATTCACATTTGGCAGTTTCGTGAAATCGAAGCATACGGTAAGACTAGTTAAGAGTCACTGCTGTGAGCCTACACAGACTCGGTTTTCGGTTGTTCTAGGGGTGTTATTGGTATAACGGGAAGGGAGGAAAGAGGAGGGGAAGACTTTACGGTTCTATCGAAAACTCCGACAGAGCTTTCACTGTGTGACCAGAGATCTTTGAAAGAATAGAGAGGGGGATACTACCCTTGGCAAACTAAGGCCACCCCCAATATACATTCGATTTTTGATCTGCTGTTCGTGTTGCAGTCTCCTCCCACTATTAACACTACTGACACCAAAACCTATGCTGTTCCCTCTCTTCTCTTTCCAATCCGACCTCACACAATACGTGCTACCATGTGCACGTACATCTTTGCTATAGAATCGTTGCTCGAGCGTCAATTTAAAACGGAAACAGTTAACATTGAATATAAAACTATTTATAAAAGTAATACGTTAACAATCTCATGATAATTTTAATTATGCTATTTAAGCGTGTACTAAATATTGTTATTAATATAAATTAAGTACAGGAATAACAAAAAATGAAAATTTTATGAAATGCAAGAAAAATATAACGGAAACAACAATAATATAAAATCTTCATTTTTAACTTAAAAAACTGAGAAGTAAATTTCTTTTCACACACAAAACTGATTAATTATTAATAATAATATCTCTTTTTGTTCACTTCCGTTATTAATTCGTAAGCGCATTAAAAACAATTGCCACGAGTGTAGAAGTATGAATATCTGTTTATATTGTGTATTAGTCAAACGAAATCACGGGATAATCTGTCTCCTTAACGTTAATATTTGTAAACATATTTACACGTCTTCCATCGTATTTACAAGGATTCCGTCGAATAATGTTTATTGTCGATTATATAAAATAACAGAAACATTAAGACGTTTAAGTGAGACGTATTGATTAAACACGATGGACAAGGCGTCAACGATAAAGAGGGCTAGGTTAAAAGAAAACAATTATCTTTAACGGAAGATAATAGACGGCCTTGCGGACAAACTATAAATAGTAAAACACGGTCGAAAAAAATGATTGATAGTTGGGTTCGAAATGGTGACCAATCCTACGGGCGGGGATTCTAAACGGCCGATCCGAGCGGACACGCGTCTGCACGCATGCACACATTCGTACGCGTCACATGTATACAGTCAAATTTAGGCGTACATACACGAAGAATTAAACGACGCTAGAAGAATGCTTCCGCACTCTCACGCGTGTGGACGTGAAATGCATTCTATGTTAGTCACTGGCCTGATAGCAATAAATAATAATCCTTGACGGGTAATACTTGTGGGAAGGGTCGAGGGTTTCCGAGTTGGGAGCATTTCGTTAATGATTTTGGCTACTGACTTTATTTTCGCTGGCTTGCGACTAGCTTGCGTTGTATCGTCGACGAACATATATAGAATACGTTATAAAAACATTTTCTAAAAATTAAAATCGCATAATTATCACACGTTGATAGTAATTTGATTGCTCTCAATGTGAGTTTAATCGATATTCAACAATATTTTTTATCTTGAAGGAAATTACTATGTAAGTTTATTTTATTATGTGATAATGTTTGTTTATGATGACATGGTAAGTTTAATTATTAAGAAATAAAAGGATCTAAATGATATGCATCTTGCAATGTTACAAAATAAAATAATTTTTATGCTTTACAAGTTTTTTTATAATAATGTTAAATTAGTCAGATTTTGTATGTTATCTTAGTCCATCGAAAAATTTGTCACGCTAGTCTTAACTTTCACTAGACCCTTTTACGCAAGTTACGTGAAATGATTATTGTGACTATTGTATTAGAAACAATATTGTGGTCCTTTGTAAGGGCTCTGCTAGGCAGGTAAAGATAAAATCGAGAACAAAACCGAAGCATTTTTACGACCATGGATGGCAATAAATTGAAAGTTTTTATTTCGAAAAGAAGATCATAACTAAAGAAACGTCAACTAAACTATAAAAAAAATGACAATATTCAATAAATTATGTTGCTACTTTTACGTGACATGTTTTCAACAATCATCAATGTATGAGAAAGAGAGAGAGAGAGAGAGAGTATTTATTAAATGTGTAAAATAGAGACATTGCGCGCAATCATAGTAAAACTTATAATAATCTAAACACAAAATTATATAATTTTATATGATCCACTTTATTCTCTCAATATTATGCTACATTTAAAAATATTGCGTATAAAAATTAAATCCAGTACAACTGTACAAAATATAAAATATTTGAGAAACATTCACACTGATTATTAGTTAATGTAGCAGAGATTGCGTAGGTTTACGTTGTTAGAACGGTGTAACATCTCATAGGGTGACATATGTGCTCAATCCCTAGCCGATTCTCCGCCATGTGAGCAACCATTGAAATAAGGAATTTTCGCAAAAACGAAAGGGAGGGGAAGAAGAAAGAGAAAAAGAGAGGGAGAAAGAGAGAGAAAGACGTTTGTAGCCATTTGGGAAAATTGGGGGTATCGAAATCAAGCCAGACGGTACCTATTATTGTATGATTAATTTATATTTCGTTTGTGGTGTGCCATTCTGCGACAAATTACGCCATCTATGATTTTATATATCAATATAAAATAATAATTTATTTTGATATCTTAAATATTTCATTAAAATTAAATATATATTTGTCTTAAAAACTTTAATAAAATAATTTAAGTCAGTGTTTGTAGTTTACACTTAGGACTAAAGACGCAATAATTTCTTATACACAGTTATTTAAATATTACATTGACTGAACTGATTTTCATACTTAAATGACAGTTTTATATTCTCATCGACTACGCTTTGTTCACGACTGTATATCCAGATTTCTCCACACTTCCAACTGTCATGTGAGCAACTCTCGTTGTTCTGAATAACTTAGCATTAAAGTTTTTCTTTTGAAAAGATGAAGTCTCGTTATTTAATCCTATGTATTGGTTTTTGAAGAGGGCTCAATCACGTAGCCGAAATATGTTAAACGTATAGTTGTAACGTACGAAATTAAACATATCAGATTTCTTTATGTATAATTGAAAAAATATATATTTTGTATTACGCAATAAGTTCTGCGGTTGGCTCCCACATATCCTGTATTCCTATACTTTGTAATTTTTATTATAGAGAGTCCTTTAGCATTTTGTTTACTTATTATTGTCAAAATAATTTGATTAGTGTTAAATCTAATATTTCTAATTGCAAGTCTTTTTGCTTTAACGAAAAAATAATAAATTTGCATTACACGGCACGTGTCTTCTGTACTAAATTTATTTCTAACAATAACTATCAAAACGTCACTAGATCATGCTGAGACACGCTGGGACAGAACGTGTCTTTTTTGAACGAAACTTTCGAACAATTGCCCAATCTTTGACGGCATGGAATGCAAAGGACACCGAAAAATCTAGAAGAAGAAATCTGGCTTTGTTACGTTTCCTACGCTATTCAGATACAGTTTTCCATTGTGTCCGGTAAACTACCCTGTTAAATTATTTTGTCAAAGAGGTACAAAGTATCTTAGACGACAAAGAAAATAATTCTTTTGCCGAATTATATTATATGTAGGAACTTAATAAATTTTATCTTTTCACGAAATGTGTGCTTATAAAATTACTTAAGTACTTGCGAAATTGAAAATCAATTGCACACTATAGATGTTTCATGCAATATGTAATTGCATAGTATATTGTCTATATTTTGACTCGAGATTTTCCATGAAGTGCACTTTATAAAACGATGAATTTCTCTTTTAATATAGACATCACAGAAAACAAGCTAATGTTATTTGCTGGGATGTTGAAAATAGTTTTATAGTCTCACATTTAAATGCAGAAAAGCCATAAAGGTCTCAGGTATCATCGTGCGCACGAGTTTACGACTCGAGAGTATTTATGACTTATTCATCATAAAAAAAAAAAACGGAAAGTCATCATGTCCCATAAAGTAAGCATTGACAAATTTGGAGCGTTTAATTTTTCAGATTTTACACTGTCGCGTGTGCTTAGTGTTTGAAGAGCCGTTTTCATATCGAAGAATTCCAAAGAGTTGGTTAATCAAGAATCGATATGTTTCAATAAAGAAATATTTGTGTCAGATATATTTTTTAAAATTTCATGTATGAAGTGTACTTTCAAGGAGAGAGGGATTATCGATTCAACGTTTGTTTGCGTAACGTGTTTACTTACTTCTCGCCGCGAATATCTTCCCTCCTCACTACTCAGTCTGCTCGGTCGGGGCACCCTCGTGCCGAGCCGAACTCAGCGGGGATGGATCCGCAGTGATACGAGGGAGGAAGGAGAGCGGGTACAGGGGGAGTAGGACGTTGGAAATATCATTTATCACGACCAGGACTGTCAATCTCCGCCGCATTGATACGATGATAGTCCACCGACGTCACGATGCTTCGCTAGCTGCTCATCCGCCGTGGAATCGTCGACGTTTCTCATCGCGGCGTGCGTAGGATGTTCCGTCATAACGTTGTAAATTAAAGCAACACACGCTTGATCATTGATATATATGTGACGTTAACCTATTACATGCACATTAGCATAATTTTAATCGATAATTTATATCGAAAATAAATCCATGAATTAAATTATACGTCGGAAACAAAAACTAAAACCGGATTCAGTATACAATCAATTATAAATGGTACAATAGATCTTGAATTCAAATGGC